TTGCTAATAATACATTGCTCATAAACTTATCTTTGACTTTGTATTGCTAATAATACATTGTTCAACACATTTATCTTAGATTTGTATTGTGAATAATACAAATATTAAATCTTATATTCTGACTTTAAAGATTTAAAAATGTTTTTAATATGTACATTATATTTAACATTGAGATTTTGAGGACTCTTTTTAAGTAGTCCAGTTATTGCGTTAAAGAACACAATTATTACCAATCTTTAAGTGATTCTACAAGTACTTGTCATACTTTAGTTTATATTCAGTCTAAAGTCATAAAGTATTATTAAGACTTTGAATTATCGTTAAGACATTGGAAGTTTTCCTTTGAATATTTCTTAAATTTTATAAATACCTTTGAGTATTTCGAAAGTCCCATCAAAATGATAATAATATCAGAACTTACCATTGTGGACTAAAACCAGAATTGTGAAAGTGGATGAAAATAAATTCTGACAGTATATTGTTAAATACCATCGAAGTAGCCAAGAAAGCTGAAGAGGCCGAGTTCGAACCAGTAACAAGACCATATCATCAATCAAACAGCTCCTCCAATCTCCAGCTCAATGAACTGATGACAGCTCTCCGTGTACTAACCTGTAGGTTAGAACATTTAAAAACGTCGCAAAATCACCAGACTACGAGCTGGAATGATTATCCAACAAGGAATTGGCAAAATAATAGAAGACCGCTTACCTGTTATAACTGTGGAGAGGAAGGATATATTAGCACCAGATATCCCAAGTCATATTCGCTGAATAATTACCAGAATAATCACGAACATAATTGGTGAGATCAAAATAATGCGAATACCAGAAATTCGCATCAGCAAAACAATATCAAACCAAATGCATCAAATAGATCAGCAAATAATGGACAAACAAACAACAATACCAATGCAGTATTGTTGATGCAGATTCAACAGCTTACTGATGCATTACAAAATGGAACAACCAGCAACAATTCTCTCTTAGCTACTCATGAATATCTGGCAGGTGAAAGAAAGGCTAAGACCACTACTCGACATAATCCACTCGGTAATCGACCAATGACCTGTAGTCAAAAAGAAATCGGGGAAGAAGAAATTAATCTAGAAGGAGATAATAATAATATTAATAACAATGAAATGGATGAAGCCAGATCATCCATCATAACCAATGACAATAACGACGACAAGAAGAAGATCTGAAAAAAAAGGGAAAGCAATACTACCTGTGTTAGCATCAAAGGTTACACCATATGATATCACTGATGACCTTGCAATGATGAAAGCCAACATAACGGTCACCCAGTTAATTGAAACTTTCCTTGCTCAATGAGTAAAAATGTCGAAAGCTATGAGACAACCAATTCAAAAGAAGACTACTAAATGAACAACTGGAATGGTTCTTCAAAAGATCAAGACCACTTCTGCTTGGTGTGAGGCTAAAGTGGGAAAAATCATAATTGATTTGATTATTGATACTGGTGTGTCAGGATGTGTGATGACACAATATTTCCTTCAGAGTCAAGAAATTAAGATTCAAAGAAAATCCAATGTCTCAATGACCGATATCAATGATTACTTAAAGCAATCACTTGGAGCGATCGATGACTTGCCAGTAGTAATTGACGGAATCGAAATCCCAACTGAAGTCGATGTTACTAAAGCTCAAACATACGCTGTAGTCATAGACATGGACTTCTTAAACAAAATTAATGCAAAGATAGATATAAAGAAGGGTTTACTTACCTTTAACTGGGATGGATATAAGAGAAATGTCTCCATAAAATATATTCATGACCAACACATCAATTTCACTGATGAAGATAACATGAAAGAATCTGAGGAAGAAAGTGATAGTAAAGACTCAGACAATGAAGAATCTGAATTTGAGGAACAGGATCTGGATAAGAAATCTTACCTAATGTTTCATCCAGAAGATAATTGGACTACCATTCAATCTCAGAAAAAGAAAGTTCAATTTAAGAATGATAATAGTATTGAACTTAAACTAGAAGAAAATTGGACGCCAGTTAATACTGTTAGGTGGGAATTGAAATACATCAATTTGGAAGGTGTACCTTCTAGAGTTATTCGAAGTATTAAATTCATTATGGATGCTCAGGCTTATCAAGAAAGAATGAAAATTAGGTGGAAAAAATTCACTTGGGATGACTGCCAACGACTGACTGAAAAATTTTTACAAGAATGTATGCAAATACAACATTGGGCGTTTAACTGGCAAGGACCAAATAAGATATGCTGGTATATGAAATACCTGTATACAAACTATCAGCAATATCAACAATATTATAATGATCTATGGGATTGGATTGCCATCCAGCAACATCGACCGTACTGAGCCAAACTAAAAACTAAAGCAGATTGGGTCATTGAAGTTGAATGGGAGCTTTTTCAAGCACAACAAACTGAATAAATCTTTTCAACACTTGTTGAAGCACAGCAGGATATTTATCCTGAGGAACAAATAAAATAATGTAATGAATGTAAACACTATCTGAATGAATATCATAGTCAGGTTTATTTTACTTAATCAAGTGAAAAAGCTTTAGCATGCGGAAATTGTCATACAAAAAAACAGTTAAATCTACCTGCTTGTGCTATTTGTGGAGATCGTAACGAGGCTCGACACATGTACATTACTGGAAGTTATGAGAAATGATATTTTTGTACCTATGAACACCAATGCGTATATTGGTTTAACCAGGATGAATAATAGAAGAATGCTAGTACAATCTGGAAGTTACGAGAATGACAATCACTCCTTAAAGTGTATGAGAAATGCAATGAAATCGGAAAGGTAATCCTATCTCAATATATCAATAAAGATGATATTGAAAATAAATGAGGTTATATCCAATATAATGAATCAGAGGAAGCATCTGCTACAGAAATTTTTCAATCAATCTATTAACAATTAACACCCAAAAGAAGAAAGCAATTGGCACAACTGGTCCATATCAATGTAAGGCTTTGCGAAGAATGTTTAATATCTTGTGATGACAACTGATATTCTGATTGTGTACAACCAGATCTAGAAGAGAATGTCTGAAGATATGATAAAAAAAAGGGAAATTAATAAAGTTGATACTGAAACCAAAAATAAAATAAAAAAATAATGGAATACATTGAAAAGAATCGAAGAAGAATTCTTTAATCAATCCTCCGAAGAGGTGAATAATATTCAGAGTAGTGAACAACAACTACTAACTCTCAGAATTCCAGATATTCAAGAGACATTTTCAGAACTATTCGAATACTTCCAGACCATACGAAAGAAATTACAATGTACTGAAGTCGACTTTAATGAGGAGAGTGTCTACAACCTCTATGAAGAACTATCAGAAGATGATTCATTGGATCAATTAATGAAAGTAAAAGAAATGAATTATGCGATCAAAGTATATACTGATAAAAAAAAGGGAATTATACCAAATCGAGCTCATTCTACTGATATCAGATTCAACTTATACTACCCTGAACAAATGAACCTAACAATCGAACACCATCAGATCATCATGATTGATCTTCATGTCGCTATAGAAATACCAGAAGGAACAATGTGTCAAATAATGTCTTGGTCTTCTTTAACCAAGAAGGGAATCAATGTAAAAGATGGAACCATTGACGTCGGATACACAGGAAATATTGGTATCATCCTATCCAACTTGTCACAATAATTGTACACCATTAAACCAAATGATCGAATTGCACAAGTGGTATTTATTCAATTAGCCCTGATCAAATTATTACAACCAGTTGACAGTTGAATGAAACTTGAAGAAAGTAGCTGTGAAACAGGAGAATTCAGATCAATTGACCAAATAATAGGAGCGTACTTTCTAAACATCAATGATGAACTATTACTTGTTAAACCCAGAGCTCTTATATCATGACAACAAGAACAGTTAAATACCTTACTTAATGACTTTCATGACATCTTTATCACTGACTTGGATCAATTAGAGAGATCGAATATAGTTCAACACAAAATTCATACCGAGAATGCTATTCCAATATGACAAAGGGCATATCAAGTCATCATACCTGATCAGGAATTCATCAATGACGAAATTCAATGAATGCTTAACACCAGAATTATTCAATAATTTAACAGCCTGTGGGCTTCGCCAGTAGTTGTCACATCCAAAAAAGGAAATAAAAAGAGATTTTGCGTAGATTATAGAAAATTAAATGAAGTAACTCAGAAAGACGCTTATACATTATCCTGAATTGATGAGATGCTTGACAATCTCAGAGAGACAACATGGTTCTCTTCAATGAATCTATCGTCTGGTTATTGGCAGATCGAAATGGATGAATTGAGCAAGTCACAGATCACCTTCATCTCTAGAAAAGAATTATTCGAATTCAACGTGATGCCCTTTGGATTATATAAAGGATCTGCAACTTTCCAACACACAATAGATACTATTTTAGCTGAGTACAATTGGAGATGTGCAATGGTTTATATTGACAATATCAATGTGTACTCCAAAATCTTTGAAGACCACTTGGATCACCTAAGAAAAATACTCGAATGGATTAGAAGATCTGGACTAACATTAAATTGAGAGAAATATAATTTTGTAAAGGACGAACTGCTCTTCTTGGAACACATAATTACTGAAAAAGAAATTTCGCCAGATCCAACCATTGTTGACAAGATGAAGAATTTTCTTCAATCACGTACAGTCAAGCAACTTCAGTTTTTTTTAGGACTCGCTGGATATTACCAAAAGTTCGTCAAAGGATTCTCCCAGATTGCTGCACCCCTATTTAAGCTATTGAAAAACAATATTAATTTCATTTGGACAATGGCTCAGGAACAGGTCTTCACGGAATTGAAAACACAACTTACTATTGCTCCCATTCTGATTTATCCAGACTTCACCAGGAAATTTTATCTATACATAGATACCTCAAACACCAGATTGAATACTGTATTAGCACAAAAAGATCAAGACAATAGGAAATGAGTTGTAGCCTATGCAAGTGTCATCTTGAAACCCGCTGAAACTCGTTACAGCACCATGGAGAAAGAAGCCTTAGCAGTTGTATGGGTTATACAGCAATTCCGTCATTATCTATTGGAACTTCTTTTTGAAATTGTAACAGATCATAATGCTCTTCGATGACTTTTTCACAAATAAAGCAATCCTGGACCACGAGTCACTCAATGGGTAATGGAATTGATGAAATACAAATTCACAGTAACTTACCGAACTGGGCGAACAAACCAAAATGCTGATACTCTTTTCCAAATTGAATATTAAGTATAATTGCAAACAAAAAAAACAACAAAAATGAACAAAAATGAAAGCTGAACGATATAACAGGTTGAAACTTTATTTGATCAATGAACAGGATCCTGTAAAATTCAACCAAGAACAAAAATGACAACTACAACAACAATTAAAATACTTTATAATAATTAATAATATATTATACAAAAAGAATCAATCACAAGAACCCACTCACCCCCTCAAAGTATTACAAATACACGAAATAAAAGCTATCTTAACTTACATGCATGGAGAATTACTAACCGGACATTTTGGATACGAAGAAACGTATTGTTATTCCAGTTCTTTTAACAGTATTTATATAGCAGAAGGTCTTTAACAGATCTCTTCTTACAATTATAAGAGGAGATAGTGGATCAAGTTAAGTTTATATTAAGAAAGTTATACGTTATAATTATGATAGGTTCAAGATAGTTTTATTAACAAAGCTTCTTTATTACTATACTT